ACGAACATTTGCTATCTGCTGTTTGAGAAACCAACCAAGTGCAGAAGAATCTGAAATGCATTTTGTCCGTCTGCTGGATGCCCAAAGTTTCGAGTTCTTGTCAACTTACCCTTTGGATGCCTTTGAATACGGTTGCTCCATATTGAGCTGCTCGTTTACAGACGACAAAAATGTCTACTATTGTGTTGGTACGGCATATGTTTTGCCCGAGGAAAATGAACCAACTAAGGTATCATTTCAGTGAGACACACTACTCTTTATTTTGTTAGTGAAATTATCTTTCATATTTATATTGTTTTGTGGATGTAGGGAAGGATACTGGTGTTTATAGTTGAAGAAGGGAGATTGCAGCTTATTACAGAGAAGGAAACCAAGGGAGCTGTTTATTCTCTCAATGCCTTCAATGGCAAACTTCTTGCTGCTATTAATCAGAAAATTCAGTTGTATAAGTGGATGCTACGGGATGATGGCACTCGCGAGCTGCAGTCTGAATGTGGACATCACGGTCACATACTAGCTCTTTACGTGCAGACCCGTGGAGACTTCATTGTCGTTGGTGACCTCATGAAATCAATCTCTTTATTGATTTACAAGGTAAAACGTCTTGATACAAAATTGTTTTTCCATCTTCTTATGAATACATGTCAAATCTTAGATTGTTATGATCACAAGAACTCACCGTACTCTTTTGATTATCTGTGTTTGTTTTAAAGCACGAGGAAGGTGCGATCGAGGAGAGAGCTCGGGACTATAATGCAAACTGGATGGCGGCAGTTGAGATACTCGATGATGACATCTACCTTGGTGCTGATAATTGCTTCAACCTATTCACAGTAAAGAAGAACAACGATGGTGCTACAGATGAAGAACGGGCTCGTATGGAGGTGGTTGGTGAGTATCACATAGGGGAATTTGTGAACCGATTCCGCCATGGCTCTCTTGTTATGAGGCTTCCTGATTCAGAGATTGGTCAGATACCGACAGTCATATTTGGCACTGTCAGTGGGATGATTGGAGTGATAGCTTCTCTGCCTCAAGAACAGTATGCGTTTCTAGAGAAACTGCAGACGAGTCTGAGGAAAGTGATTAAAGGAGTTGGTGGTCTAAGCCACGAGCAATGGAGGATCATTCAACAACGAGAAAAGAACTGCGGAAGCGAAGAGTTACTTGGATGGAGATCTGATTGAATCGTTCTTGGATTTGAGCAGGGGTAAGATGGAGGAGATCTCTAAAGGTATGGATGTCCAAGTGGAAGAGTTGTGCAAGAGAGTTGAAGAACTCACTAGGCTTCACTGAGCAAATCAAATGCAAAGCTCCCCTCTTTCTCTTTGGTTTGTTTCTCGACAATCTTTTTAGTTTTGAAGAGTTGTTGTCTCTGTGAAAACTTGAGTGGTTTCATATAAGTGAAAGTGTCCTTTTAAATTGCGTATTTTATTGATGAACAAATTGTATAATTATGCGATTTTGAGAACTTTTATCAATAAGAATTTCTTTGTGATCAATAAATTTTGCTAAAGGAATAATATCTCCTTACAAAACAGAAATGTACATTGGAATCGGTTTAGATTGGTCTGATCCGGTTCGGTACGGTTGTGAGAAATTTGTCGGAACGTCAAAGAATAAACCAGAAGGGTTTAGAATTCTTCTGGTGAAGGAGAGAAAGAAGAAATCAGCTGAGATTCTGCGACGGAGGAGGTTTTGTCTTTCTTCTCCACGTACGAACCCTAAATCCTCATTTACTCCTTTCTTCCATCTTCAAGCTCTGCTTTCGTCGAATCTTTCAAAAAGTAATAACCTTTCTCTTCTCTGTGTTCTTTTTGATTCATCGATTCTTCGTTATTTTACTGTAAATCACCTGGAGAAAATGTTTCTGTTTCCAGATGTTTAGATTCTAGGCTTTTTGTTGCACTCATTTGGGTTTGATTTTGAATTGCTTCAAGGTTTAAAGCTGATACCTTTAGGCGGCGCCAAAATCATGGTCTTCCATAGGCTATCAAGATTAGGTTCTCGCATTGTTAGAGAGCTCCCAAGAGGTATATTTATCTCAATCTTTTACAACTTTTTGATTGAATTTGTTCTTTGCTCTTAGTGGTGGAAGCAGAGCTCATGTATTGTCTGCGTGATTTAAGTACTCTACATTTATGTTTTGGGCAGAGAGGCATTTGTCAATGTGTGGAATGAGGAGTCTACATAGGTCTTATGGCCAATATCTTCAATCTTCGGTTAGTCTTAGCTCTCTGAATTTCAGTTACGAAAATTTGTTGCATTGGTTTTATTTCTCGGTTGCATTTTTATATGAATCTTATTTAGTTCATTCATTAGACATGGCACTTCCCATTTGCGATCAAGCTTTAAGATATGAGTTGCTAACTCTTAATTTCTCGGCTCGGACTGAATTGTAGCTTAGGTATAGGCTTTGTGATACTGAGTTTGGTTTTGTTAGGAATCTGAAAAGCTTGTAGATAGTATACACTATTCTTGTCAGTATTGTTTAGCTATTTATAGATATGTGATGCTTATTGATAAAATAAGTTCAGCAACCAATAGAGAGAATTACAGGGTTTGGCTTTGGCTCAAAGAGCTAGCAAATGCCTGAGTGTGTTGTTAGAAGTGAATTAGCTCTGAAGCTTGGGTTTTTGGTGACTCGCGGTGTTCTCTTACATATTCGATCTTAGTTTAATATCTTACTGTTTTCATCTCGACAGCCAATGCTACAAAGGCAAACTAGGAGTTTTAAGGAAGCATTATTCTCGAATAATCATAAGTTTTGTACATCTTTCAGCACTACCTCTGAGAAAGGTGGGGAAGAAACAGAAAAGTAAGTTCAAATTTATCTCAAAAAACATTCAACTCTTGACAACAAAAAAGTGGACATGATAATTCAGACACCAGTATTCTCGCCTGAATGTAAGATACATGCATTTCGTATTGTTTTCAGGATAAACTGTTATCTTTGTTGATAAAGATGGAGAGGAAATTCATATTAAGGTTCCAATAGGAATGAACATCCTTGAAGCTGCTCATGAAAATGATATAGAACTCGAAGGTATTATTTTCCTCCATTTCTTCCTTCTCTTTGTCCAATGATGCTTTTTCTACTTAACCCAAGATAGTAACTATGTCTCAGATTGATCTTTCATTGAAAATTTATGGGTTGCTTCTTCTTTATTAATCTTCAGGGGCGTGTGAAGGCTCTCTAGCGTGTTCAACGTGCCATGTGATTGTTATGGTAAAACTCACTTGTCCTTACAATCACTCATCTGCATAGATTATCATGAATTGTGTTGTACCAATAGTTGACAAACTGTAATTGTAATAGGACACTGAATACTACAACAAACTCGAAGAACCAACTGATGAAGAGAATGATATGCTAGATCTTGCTTTCGGGTTAACAGCAACGTGAGTTCTCTATCCTTGGCTTTAAATGGTTTCAGTCGGGTTTCATTAAAAATGTTGACATGTTCCATTGAAAATGTTTATAGGTCACGATTGGGATGTCAAGTGATCGCAAAACCAGAGCTAGATGGAGTACGCTTAGCCATTCCTTCATGCTACTAGAAATTTTGCGGTTGATGGGTTTGTTCCAAAACCTCACTAGCCACTTAAAAGTCTCAGAGCAGAGGATTTTTCGAGTTTACACTTGTTACTATCCGACAAAACTCGTGACATAAAATTACCCTTAGGGAGAGTTATACAAATGTAATTCAGACGGTGAGATTTCATCTCAGCTTGTTTTTGCAGCATTGTTTTATTGTGTGTCTTGAGTTTAATTTAGATTTCATGACAACGCTAAAGATATAGATGAAATTTTGATTAGTTTTACTACAAAGAAAGTGTGTATATAAATAAAACGATGTTATACAGTATCAATATAGTAATATCCTAGATAGTTAAAAGACTTACCTGTCTTGGTTCTGGTCAGAATTGAAATCGCTTTGGTCGTGTGATCGTTCAACTTCAATAGTCGCTTACCTCTAGTAACATAGCTAACCTTACCAAGTAAAAAGGTCCAGAAGACAATTGATCTTATCCGTTGAATTAGTTGGGCCACTGTAGGGCCGCTGAGTTACCTCTAAAGCCGGTCCACTGAGATCAACTTAACTTTTTTTTTTTTTTTGGGACAAAATCAACTTAACTAAAACTGATTTTGTATTGGTTGTCTAAAGTAGCTACTAGCTACAAGTGGTGCAAAGACAAAATTTTGCTAGCATTTTCTATCTATCTATTTAATTTAACCACCCTATTTTCACCAGTTGTATCCAGTTTAAAATATTAAAAATCTATAGAAGATTAAGTTTTATGACAAATTTTTCCGATGCGCCAATAAGAACGCGAGTGAACTTCACGCGCTGGACACGCATTATATTTTCTTTTCTCAACAAATCATTATTAAATTAAATCCCTACAAAGGTTAATTAATTAGGTGTTTTGTCGGTTTCGAAAATTAGGTTATTTTCAATAAAAACATATGTGTTATGGTCAGATTTACTATTATCTTGATATTGTGTATTGTTAACTACTAAAATCTTTCTGTTCCTAACTTCCTAGGGATCTATTCTATATATGAGCAAATTCAATAATATGTCTCTATGAAAAACTTATCTCACGCGCCATAAGATAGAGCGTGAACACACGCGCTCACATATAATCTATCTATCATAGTAAATTTATGCAATCTATGTTTGTTTACCTTAAATTGTCATTAAACTCTCAATATCCTTAGATCTTTTTCTGTTTATATGACTTACCCATTTAATTACATCTTCTTGATTCACCTTCTCATATACAAACAAGAGTTAAAAATAAGAAAGCCTTAGGTTTTGACTAAGCTTAGCCAAAATGATTATGGTGTGTAATAGATCTTTAGATTTTATTAATAAACACTCTTTGACACGTTTTGCTCATAATCTCACTATCTTAAACCCAAAACATACTCCTCTTAGATTTTCACTCCCCAAAAACCTATATAAGAAGACACTCTCCACAACATAAAAGATCATAGTAACAAGAAGATCTTATAACAAGAGGCTTCCCTTTCAAAGAGAAAATCAACACCTTCTTGAGCGAAATGGATGACTTGAATGTATTTGCGAATGAAGACAATCAAGTGAATGGTGTGAAGCCCACACCTCCACCGCAAGTATGTGCAAGGTGTGATTCTGATAACACCAAGTTTTGTTATTACAACAACTACAGTTTGCTTCAACCGCGCTACTTCTGCAAGAACTGTCGTAGATACTGGACTCATGGTGGGACTTTAAGGAACGTACCAATTGGTGGAAGTTCTCGTGCCAAGCGGGCAAGGGTAGATCAACCTCCGGTTGCTCGGATGGTTCCTTGAGATCCAACCAATTAACTATCAACCTTTCTATAATGTTCAAGAAAACAATGATTTTGTTGGATCTTTTGGTGCTTCATCTTCTGCTGCTGCTGTTGGGAACCGTTTCGGTTCTTTGTCTGATATTCATGGTGGTATGGTAACAAATGTGCACCCAACTCGAACTTTCCGACCAAATCATCGCTTAGCTTACCCTGATGGATCATTTGAGCAAGATTATTACGACGTCGGATCCGATAATCTTATGGTCAACCAACAAGTTGGTGGATATGTTGATAATCTCAACGGTTATTACATGAATCAAGTGGAGCAACTACCATTGGAACCAGAGCTTCAACAACACTATGAACATGAATCACAATAACGCCAGCACTAGTGGAAGTAGCATTGTATCTGACATGAACGTGAACAACGATAACAACAAGTACAGATACCTCAACTCTGTGATTATGCATCCTTGTCACTTGGAGAAGGATGGTCCTTGAATCTTAACCGTATTACCTGTTTTTCTTTTTCTAATAAAATAAGTCAATGTGTCTCTGTTTCATTTGGAGTCTCAGTTTCTCTTTTATGTTTTCTATTATTTACTTTTAAGTTATTAAAGTTTGTGTCGTTGTGGTTGGTCTAATCTATTGTAAAATAATATAATTATCTAGTAAAATCACCATTCATTGTTTTGCAATCTGCCTATTTCTTGATCATGAACCAATATCATATGCCAATATAAACTTTGATATCTTTATGTATGTTTCACATACATAATTTTTTTATATATATGCAAATATATATTTATCATTATTACAATACTAAATATTTAAAAAGAGAAATATAATGTTTGTTTAAATTTTTAAAAATAATTTATTATTTCATATTTGAAAGTATCAGAATTACATATTACTATGATATATGAAAATGAATTCCTAAAATGTCAATCCAATAGTAGTTAACTAATAAATTAGATAGATAAATCCAAATAAAATGAGTTGTCATATCTGTTATGATCAAACCAAAATTATGTAAAACTTAGAAATTAATTGAAATATAATATTTATAGTCTTAATTAGATAATTTTGTAATTTTTTGTTGACTCTTTTGTCAACAATTAAATGAATTTCTATATTAAAAAAAAATAGTTGATTTCTTTTTTTGACCACAAATTAATTGATTTTTGGGAAAAAAAATTGACTGGATTAATATATATGGTAAGAACTATAAAAATAATAATATAAATAGTTACACTAAGTTGAAGTTGTTAGCAAGAAAAACATTGTTATCTCAGATTTTCTTCTAGAGCCAAAATGGCCACTTTCTTAATGTTTAATTTTTTCATCTTATCTAAGTAATTTGTTGAATTATTGCAGTTTGAGATATAGCTGTTGAAGTAGCAGAATTTGGTGTGGTCAGAGTTACGTCGAAACCACAAGTGTGTCCAATGTGTAACTCAGACAGCATCAAATTCTGTTAATTCAAAAGCTATAAACTAATTGTTGAGATTTTAGGAACTTACCTATTGATTGAAGTTATCATGAAGCTAAGCAGGCAAAAGTAGATAATTTTTTCTTTTCTTTTCAATATGGTTTCTGTTGATATCCCAACTAGTTATTATTTTTATTGTTTGGTTCACAATCGAGCAAGTTAAAAACAAATTTCTTTTCACAATCCAACAAGTTAATCATCAACATTCTTACATGTTTGAGAAAATAATGAGTTTCTTAGATCTCTTTGTGTTTCTTCTTCTTCTGAAATCATGGTGATACGGTAACAAATATGCCACCAATTTCAGGAACATAAGAAGAAGAAACACCAAAAGATCCAACAAACTCAATGTTTTCTTGAACTTGTAAGAAATGTTGATGATGACATTGCTCTCCATATTTCTATATATTATTTAAAAAGTTAATTGACATTGCACTCTGTAAAGAATCCTTATAAATATACTTAAAATGAATAATCATTGCACTCTTGCTGGTATGGATGCCTCGGTTCTCTTAGTGAGGTAGTCTTCAATTGTTAAAGGAAGAGTCGCTCTCTGTTGCCGTGGATTTTCTCGTCCCTTTCGGTTAGCCACTTTGTCAAGTTGTTCTCTCATGTGGTTTGGTGGTAGGCGAGTTGTTATGGTTTTAGATTCTGGTCTTACTGCTTCTGTTTCTCGTCTTAGTTATGACCTTTCCTTTGTGTGTTTGGCTTTGTATTTCCTAAGTTTTCCTTTTTTAGGCTTTAGCTTCCGCGGATATCCCTTTATCCATCGGCTTAGTTCTCAGTATTGTTTAGTCCTTAGATTGCGGGATCATTTCTTGGACCACCGTTGTTGTATCTTTTATCATGAAATATAATCTATCACTTAGATGGAAAAAAAAAGAAGAAAAGAATAATCCTTGTAAAAATTATTAACACAATTCTCCATAATCCTACAAACAAGTAACAAGAGAAAAAACCCAAAGATGGTCTCACTATTTTATATCAAGTCTAAAATTTGGCAACCTGCAATAGAATCCAAAACCCATGAACTGCTTGCAGCTCTGGCTCTAGCAGATTTGGCCAAGGCTTCAGCATCAGATCTTCTTTGGGTCAGAGTTTTCTTCTTGCTAGGCTCAACACTAAATACTACGATCGTTGAAGCTTCATTATCATCAGAAGAAACAGGCCGCCTACGCAAGATTGTTCCTCCTGCTGCTACAATTAGATCTTGAAGATATCCTTTGTAAGCAAGCTCAAAATCTCCCATAATGTAAAACTTTAGTCCATTAAAAAGTTTTGGTTTCTGCATAATGATGAATGAAACCATTTAGATGCAATATTCTCAAGTTGGTTGTATCATAGAGATAATCAAAGAGAGACGAAGCTAACCTTTTTCAAAGCTCTTTGTCTTCCAAGATGAGGTCCTTCTCGTATTCCATGAACATCCATGGTAATCTCATATGGCTCCTCGCTTACATATTTTGTATTTTTCATACACGCCTTAATCCCTGCAAGAAAAGATAGACAACACTTAGACAATTTGTTGATTGATAGATTGCAAACATACATGTTTCGTTGCTAATGGGTTAAGAATACTAACAATCAATGGTTAGTATCCATTTCCCCTCCAAGATTGCCATCATGAATTTGAGGGTCCTTTTACAGGCTCCGTTTTCATTGATTGATGCAATGACATGTGTAACAGTTGGCTCCCAATTCTTTGAGATCGTAACTCCAGTGAGTTCCTCAAATTCTGTAATAACAGTCTGCAATCCAAGCCATCCATCAAATACAAGTTTCAACTCGAGTGTTGCATATAGTAAAAGAGTAGATATATCCATACCTTCTCTTCAACTGTGAGTCCTGAGCAGGATAAGACCAATTTCTTGGACAATCCATGGAACTGCTTGCTCTGGAGCTCAGCGATGCTAGTTTTTCCAGACACTTGGTTAGGCTGAGAGTTCAGTGGTCTAGAGAAGATAATGAAATATTGTTTAATTTCAAAAATTGGAATCACATCATAATCCCTACCAATAGATAAAATTGACATACCCTTTAGGAGTACGCTTGCATTTCCTGTCTTTTGAATTAGTCTCTTCACAGGGCAACTTAATGGATGCATCCAAAGGGCATAGCATTACAAAGTTTTCCTATTGATAAGAAAAAAGGTGTTAAGAGAACTGTGTAAGGGACTATATAGAGCTTCTCTAGTATATGCAACACTTACATTGTCCCATCTGCATTCTGGTATGAGTTTTGCACATGTAACATGAAAACTATTCTTGCAACTCTTATTGTAACAACCAAGTGCTGCGCCTTTAAGCCCACAGCAGCTGCAACTTATTCTCCGGCTTCTTGTCAACTCCACATCAAGATTCACTACGGTAAGGTTGTTGAAGTATACATTTGGAGCCCTGAAAAAGCAAAGCAGTTTCTTACGTGCTTTCAGTGGTGTATCAAGAGCACATGTGTCATGCTCAAGCAGTTTAAATGATATCAAAAGGCATGATGGATAATTACTACTATCCAGATTTCTTACCATTCAGCACAGTTTTTGTGAACATGTATGACCTTAGACCCACCATTAAAATCTGCAGAGACAGGTTTACCTCTGTGGTAGTGAGCCATTTCTCCTGAAGCCTGTTCATATAACATTCCAATGAACAAAATAGTAAAAATCAACAAAGGTCTACATATAGGAATCGAATGTGAGATAGTGAAGCCAACCTCTGTGTCTTCTGAAGACTGACAAAAGGCACATGTGAATTTCTTTGTTGAAGGTCCATCACATCGTCGCAAATGTGCACTACCTCCAGATGAAGACTTGTTTATAGCTGAGCATTTCTCTACCACTTGCATGGTATGATTGTCTTTACCCACAGTGGATTTCTTTTTGTTTGTTGAATCTTGTATATCACCCACTTGATTCAACTCATCAGCTAGGATACCATTTCCATGCGATTGTGTAGCTTTGCTTGAGGTCAAATGGGAATCAAGTTTCAATCTCTTTTCTGAAGTCTTCTTTTGAGTTTTCCCAGATAGATCTTCTAAAGACGAGCTTGCATTGGATTTTCTTCCCCTCTTCTTCAGAGAGGGTTTCTCGGTGAGCCTTTGTTTTTCAGGATGTGTATCAGATGGCCCATGGGCTCGATCCTGATCCCCCTTTCCCACAATTTCTGTTCCAAGTGAGAGTTCATTAGATCCTATGATCGGGCCAGCTGGAGAGGATTTAATGCTAGATCTTTTCCTCTTTGTCCCTTGCTTCTCATCTGCTGCTTCCTTGGATACATTTAGATCAGACTGAACTCGTGAACTCTGACCCTTGCTTCTTGTAGCCCTTTTAGCTTTCACATTTTCATCAGGATTCCCATCATTCCTGATTATCGTGCCAGAAGTCCCACGACTATCTTGTTTCTCACTAATGTTTGCTACTGCAGATGATTCCATGTTGTCCTCCTTTGAAACCTCAACGCTTCGTCTAGCAACTTTATTTCTTGCACTTCCTGCTTTGCGGTTTTTACATTTGGATGATGCTACTTTAGATAGTTTCTTTTGAGTGAGATCAACATCACCTCTACCTAGGACCTGCAAATCGATTTAAATTTCTAGTTCAATACACACTTGATGACACTATCAGAGAAAACAAAGACCTTGCTGTATCAGATTGAAGAGCTGCCTTTACCTTGGCCTTCACAGGACTAGGTAGAATCTCCGGAGAACAAGGCCTCTGAGTCCATTCAAACATTTCACTGTCAAACATGTCTCCATGGATTAGGCTTTTCTTGCTCATCTGCCTGAAACACTCACAGAGAAAAAAGTCAGATAAAAGGATCCGACGCTCTTTTAGGATATTGGATTGAATCAGGGAATTCCATGTAACTGAGTATTCAATCTAAATCAAAGAGAACCTCCACCACATACTAAGATTTATCTAACACATTTCGATAAACTCAAAGTGTATCAATACCATAGAACAATATAATGCAATGTGAATACTGAAAGATAGCATTACAAAAGGCTATTGAGGATTTCGAGTACATACCTTCGACAGGCTTTCATGATCTGAGTCCATCAAATCGCTGAATGAGGGAACATCAACAGGTTTAGCATCTAAAAGTTGATCACTTTCTGTGCGCTGACTTGAGTTCTCCCCATCACCTTCATCTCTCAACCAAAAAAAGGGTGACAGATTTCCTTCTTTACTCAGACCAGGATGCTCGTCCAAACGAATCACAGTGTTTTCAGTGTAATCCTTGGGGTTTTCAGCTGTTTCAACAGACTCAGTAGGTTTAGTTAAACCTTCAGAAGACAGATTCTGGAGCAGCTGCACCCTTTTCTTGGTTTGGGATGAAGGTTTCATAACAATATGCCCGGATGCATCTACATCTGTTTCCTTGGTTTTCCCATACTCTTTCCTCTTGGATGTTCGACCTTTCCTAGATCCCTGACGATTCTTATCACTTGCCTTTTCAATGGAAGCATCTCTCACATGCTTTTCTTTATCTGTAGGCGCACATAACAGAACACAAATCCCACTTTTAAACAACTTAATGATTACAGAAACTGTTTCAAATTTGTTTTTAAGATCATCAATTTAGAAAACAAAATATCAAGTGAAATGTTTACAATGCTTTGAATAAACTTGTAATGAGTCAATCACTGCCTTTGTTTCATTCAAGAAAAACAAAATGTTAAAGCATCGATCCAATTAGACAACTGTAAGTACCTAGTGGTGATGGATTATTCTGGCTAACGAATAAGTTAACCCCAGAAGCATCTTCCATGTTCTTGTAAATGCTCACCAAGCTATCCATATGAGGAGCACCTCGAATCTCTGACATATAACATTAAATCATCAAAACTAGTTAAAACAAGATACTAGTCAAGTACAATCACAAACTTGGTTTAGCAATAGGAAATTCTGACTGTGAGTCCGAGATCAATTAGGAGCAAGAGAAAGTACCTCTACGATGGTATGGGATTTTACAGACTGGGCACGTAGCATCCATTTTCATAGATTTCACTATACACGCACTAAAATCAATATAACACAAGTGTTAATACGAAGAAAGAACAAACTTAAAAGAACATGTTTAAGAAAAACATAAGGAGTGTTCTTACTTGCAAAAGACATGGTTGCACGAAAGGGAGACTGCAGAATTAAATAGACTCAAGCTGCCACAAAAAAAAATCAAGTTGAAATTAATTGTTACGGAGGCGACTAAACGACGGCTTAAATCCACTTCCATTTTCAGACTATAAAATAATAAATTAGGGTTCTTCCTCGCCGTGTATAAAATCCCGACATAAAACTCATAATTGAAATAATTGGAACAGAGAGACGCGGTTTACCAAATAGGGCACTTGAGTTCTCTTCCCATCCTCTCCAGGTGACTTGTGTCCGCCATTTTCGATCTTCAATTAGAGAAAAACGAAACGAATCAATCTGATGAATTTAAAGAATGAAGCGACTCTTTTGGGTATATAGATGACGAAGCGTGTCCATCAATGAGGCTTCCCTTGAAAGCTTTAGAGACTAAATAAAAAAAAGCGCCAAAATTTCATTTACTTCAAAAAAATTCAAATCCCGCCATGGAAACACGCGGTATAATAATTACTATACACTCATTTTCGTTTTGTCCCTATAAGTTTATTAGTTTCCAAGATTTAAACCTATTACTTTTATCTTCGACAATTTTACCCACATATACTTAAAGGTTCAGTCCCAACTCACAACAGGAACCATTAATGGTGGAGAATCTAATCAACAGAGAGTGTCTAATAATTCGGTAAATTTGAACGATTTGTGATGAAGCAATAATTTATATGTGATGAAACAATAATTTTATTTTCTACATTACCAGTAATCTTGGCAAGAACAAGAACCATCTTTAAAATGGTGAAACCTGCTACGATCTCTGACAACAATCACTCGATTATAAACTTTGACACAAGTTTGATTGCTAAATGACAATCTGCACATACTCTAAGATTCTTCACGACTCGAATCGGAGATCTTTCCGGTGTGCTAATAAGCATAAAAGCAATAGCAATCTTTTCACTGTGGTAAACCAGAGCATTCTCCTTCTCTTCCTCCTCAACATCTACATAGACGTTTGAAATCTGCGGCACGTAACCTTCCAGTCTCAATCTATCAGTCATTTCTTTCAGCTTAGCGTAAATTTCATCACTTTGTGGATGAGACGTATCACCCATGAGAAACTCATGAACTCTGTTTCCTACTTCTACTAAGCTGTGACCGGGAACTTTTCTCACACCGTCTCTTAGCATTTGTTTCCTTATCTTTTGCACATCGGACCAACGCTGCTCGGATGCATACATATTCGACAAGAGGACATAATCGCCGCTGTGGTTTGGTTCTAGTTGTACGATCTTCATTCTAGCTAACTCTGCTAAATCTGAATCACCAGTGAACAGTACAAGCTCCTAACAATGTTCTCCAGATCACAACATTTGGCTGCATCGGCATATTCTTGATGTATTCATACGCTTTCTTTACTTGTCCAGCTCTAGCTAACAGATCGACCATACAGCCAAAATGTTCAATCCTAGGCTCAATCTTATACTCTTCATCTCATTCTTTTGAAATACTCAAAACCTTCCTTCACCATCCCGCAATGGCTACAATGCGTATAAGATCCCCACGAATGTGATCTCACATGGTAACAATCCCTCCTTTGATTCCATATTCCTGAAAAGCTCAATTGCTTCTTTTCCAAAGCCATTAACAGCTAAACCGACAATCAATGAAGTCCACGAGACACTGTTCTTGTCCACCATTTCATCGAAAAGCATGTTTGGCTTCTTCGACTCTTCCACATCTTACATACAAGTCCAAGAGAACATTGCTTGAATGCAAGTTTCGTGTCAAACCCACTTTGATCATATAGACATGAACTCTCCTACCCAATGTCAAAGCACCAATCTTTGCACAAGCAGACAACAAGCTAACGATTGTGAACCCATCAGGCTTGATACCCTTCGAATCCATTTCAGTATAAAGCGCCAAAGCTTCTTCTGGCTTACCGTTTTCTGCAAACCCATTAATCACAGAGTTCCAAGCCACAAGATCTTTCTCAGGCATTTTATCAAACACCTTGTAAGCACTAGATACATCTCCACAATTGGCGTATAAATGGAGCAGAGAGTTCTGAACATATATCAACGAACCAAACCCACTTTTTATAACAACGGAATGAATCGTCTCTCCTAGCCTAACATCCGCCATTTTCGTCACAGCTTTAAGAAGAAACGGGTAAGTATGAGTATCTGGCTCGACCAAACCAGAGACTCTCATCTCACGGTAAAGAGAAACAGCAGAGACGGAATTACCAATCTCGGCGTAGCCTCTAATCAATGTGTTCCAAATAAAGACATTGATGGGTTTATCAATCTTGGAGAAGACCTTGTGAGCGTAAGACATTGGAGGTGGAGAGGGAAGAGACACGAGGTAGAAGATGAGGTGTTTCCCCAGCTCGGCGTCGGAGATTGAGACTCCATGTCGGATTGAAAAAGCGTGGATTTTTCTGAGTCTCGTTAGCGATGAAACGCCGTAGGTTTGTAAGAGATTTATGCATTTATCGACCATGGGAAGTAGCAGAACAGAGGTTTCTGAGTATGGAGACATTTTGCTCTGTTCTTGTGGGCATTGTCGTCAATTGCATTAGTATCGAGGCAATTCCATTATCATATAGTACTATTAAAAGACTTCAAGTGATGAAAACTTCTCAGAACCCTAAAAATCTTCACTTTCTCCAAATAACTTCAGACAGCCGCCGCCATTCTCTGTCCGGAGAAAAATGCATCAACTAGTCAAAGGATGGGTCTTGAGTGCAGATTCATTGTTCTTCAGATCAAGACTTGCTTTTTTGGGTAAGATTCTTTACTTGGTGAGAAGGGTTCGTTTCAGGTTTAAGCTCTGATGGTTTCTCTACCAATATATATAGTCCTTCTCTTTGCAATCTGTAGTTCATCTGCATATCTTAACCGTACAACTTTATCTTTTGGTCATCTTGACTGATTCACCGTGTATCAGAACTTCACAGCCGTAAGGTTTCGGCGTGAGGATTAAACACGGTGCTATATAAAATTCTAAAGGCACATTTGGCTGCGTCCATCTGATCATGAAAAGATCAATTGGGCAGTCTTTGCGCTACAGTTCTGTTGTTGTAAGCAATCTGTGTTTTTGAGTTTTCTTCATTCCAGTTGCTTCTGCTATTGACCTGCACACTCTGAAGATTGATGTTTAGATGTTCTGTTCATACAATCAGGATTCTAATCAAATTCATTTGTATGCTAACCAAACTTGATATGTGACATCTACAGGATGAGAATTATGGCAAAACACTGAGAAATATAGAAGACAACAACTCAGTAACTACCTGGATCTTGTGAATGCCCTCCTCCATTTACCCATCTTGACTGCTTTCAGTGAAGAGGCGCAAGAAATGTAGAAATGCAGAGCTCAGGATATGCGACTTGATGGAAGCCAAAATCTTGATTACATGACTCGAGCTAAACATGAAGACCAGCAGAGTAGTATAATACAGTGACCTTGGCTTCTCTTTCTCGGTTGCCCATAGTGTTATGGCGAAGACTTTATAAAAGAATTTGCTTAGATATCAGCGTAAATCTCTTTCTGAGACAAAATCTTAATGTACAATAAGAGATTGGTTATCTTGAATGTGTAAGTGTAAACAACTAGCACCAAAGAGGAAAATACAAAAAGGGTTAAGGTGGTGCCAAATCTGTAATCCTGTAATATCTCCCAGCTAGTGATATGTTTTAGTCATCTGAAATTGCAACATTGTGCTCGACCTTTCAACAAATTATCCCACAGGCACATCATTTGACTAGGAGATTGATAATGTGCAGTATAATAGTTCAGTGTGCATCCGTATTGGCAAAATTTCCAGCTGTGTGAGTATTCGACAGGCTGCTTCGAGGCGTTGAATTTCTCCACCCACAATCCCATGCTCACATCTTCCATCTTGAACAGCTGTGACAACAAAGTCGAAATAGTTTAGCTCGTGCTCAATTCAAAATTTTAGGAGAGAAACTCTTATGTTCATTGACAGTAAGAATGGAGATGAAAGTAAGACAATGGTAAAGGGTCAGACCCTAAGCTTATGTCTTGAATTCTGAGAAACAATATATTTAGCAATGTTGCTTGAGATTATGTATCCGGGTCCATTGGCATAAGGAGGATACACAGCTTCTGGCCACTCCTGTTACAGTAATAAGTAAGAAAAATTAGTATCTGAGGCTGCTTCTGATTTCTGAATCATACAGACTAAATGCAGGCAAAGAACACAAGCCATTGTACCTCCCATGTAACTGCCCACTTGCCAGTTCTAAGAGGACGATGTCGAAGATTTAGATTTCCCATATAGAGTGATTTTTCTGGAGAGACTCCATCGATTTGTTTCAAAATTGAATCCACTCTGATGAAGGTGTCATCGTCACATTTCATTATATATGGAGCTGTCACATTCTGGACCTGAATGGAAGATATTCAGACTATCATAATCAGATTCGTGTAAAGTAACTACAACGAGGGAAACTGTTAATTTACTGATAGAGATGGAGTCATGAGAGAAATGATCAATACCCCAAATTCACAAATAGCAATTGTCTTAAGGACCACTAGCTCGTAACGATCCATAAAGGGCAGAATCACAATATCTCCAAAATACTCAGCCTCTTTCTTCAGCATTGCATTAACTTCCTTTCTTGGATTCTACACACAGAAGATACAAAACAAATCAACAAAAAGAACACATAAACTGCTCAATATTGCAAAGCATAAGAACTTCAAATCAGCAATTCTCCATCTCAATGTTCCAATAAAATCGATCTGCAGTATTAATTTCTTAAAGATTATGTTTTAAAATAAGGAAAGATTGTAAGAACTTACAAGTGCAACAAAGAATCGGGCTACTACATCTGAAGATTTAATAGAAGGATGTTGCATCCATGTCTTTCTCACTGCCATGCGCTCTGAAAAATGGTTAGTTGCAGATAGAACACCCATGAAAAGGCGAAAAGGAGTGCCAGGCAATGGAGGAGCTTTCCATTCTGAAGAAAACTCTATAGCTTTCTGAGGTGAGAAACTCGGATGAGATGTTGAAAGAGAAGTAGCATGAACAGAATGAATATCAACATCTCCTGTAATTGCCAGCCCTGTGGCATCTTCTATGGTAAATCCCTGAGAGGCCAGAAATCACAAAATATTTTAAGAAGTTATCAGACATAGACGAGATGAATTCTCTTGGTTTGAATAACAAATTATACTATTAAGTGCTGAGACCAATTCATAAGCCATATACAAGTAGAATGCTCATCTGATATCACATACCGGTCGATAAGGGAATGAAGACACATGCCTTCCACCAACATTTATATGGAAACCGTCAAATCCAGCTCGCAAAGTTAGGACAAAGACCCTGCCTTCCGCAAAAGGGAATGACCAAGTGACTTCTGGTTTTTGTTCACGTCCTATAAACCGTTTGAACCATGAAGTTGTCTTCGATTCCTTTGAGTCCACCATGTCAATTATGTCATTCTGCGTCCACTTTTCACATCTTCGGAATCCGTCAACTGGAAAAGTACATTTACTTAGATGAAGAGAAAAAAAAAAAGAAACATAACTACGCAGCAATAAAAACCTAAGGTAATTCAAACTTAGACTTCTGAGCATGGACTTCCTACATTCCGGCAATTATGTTCAATACGAATTTTTCATATATCTGTAATTTGATGTGATGTCAGATATTTCACATCTAAACTAACAACAGTTTATGATGGATGTTCAAAATCTTACCAAGCATGTCTGTGTCCTTCTTGGATGGAGTACCATCACATCTTTGAGCAACCCCCCACTGCATCCTATAACATGTATTGTGTTCAATGACTGGCCGGTGATTCCAATCACCTTTAATTCTAGGGTTCAAATGAAGAATCTTAGGGGGGTATTCCCCGTCCCCTGTCTTCAGCCCTTGCAACTCAACCATAAATTGTGAAACCATAACCATTCCATCGCCTCTTGTCAACCTCGAACGCTGAGGAACAGATTCCTTATGTGCGTACTGTGGAGTTCCAAGAATTGTAATAGAAGATCCAGCAGCAAGACCACAGGGAAGCAACATGATCCTATTGGCTTTATTCAAGTCATCTCCATTCATTGAGATCTGAGAAGGGCATGACTCCACCTTCCCTTCGAATATAGAAGAACTCTCTTTGATCTTATCTACCTCAAACTTATCAACATCTTCCCAAGCCTTGGATCCAAGCAACCAAGCCTCATCTGCCATTCTTTCAAAAGGTGACATATGAATAGTTCTATTCCTACGTCTCATGACCTCTCCCGATATTCGACCATACCGAAACAGAAGTGGCTGAATCGGTTTAGCCCCACTTATCTTCTCTTCTTGTGGCACCTTCTGAGTAGTAGAAGGCCCACTTTGATTCTCTTCATCCTCTAGCTTCCTATTCAACATGTCATTACGTAACGAACCGCTTAAACTATCATCTAAACCAGTATCAGTTAATGCCCCATCTAAACCAGTATCCCCACTCAACATAGCAACCATCTGGATGAAATGTGGGAACTTAAAAGCTAAGAAAACCAAGTAAAACCCAGCTATAGCTAGCAAGAAATGTGACAACTTGAACCTCCTAGAACTATAAACTCCTCCTCTAAAAGATTCGCTTTTTACCCTCTTCATTGTTAAAGTCAGCTATAGTAAGTAACTACCTCCCAAATCAAAATCACTCGACTTGTTGATTTACAAGTCGAATTAATGCCTCAAAACTGCAAATGTAGCAATTCATCGAACAACTTCATCCAAAGAATTAAAGGAGATTTATAACCTGAGAATCCGGCAAAGAGAAGGACCCTAAACCCCAGAGTAGCAGCTAAATCTCGACACGATCTGAAGATCGATAGAGTTCACGAAATCCAATCAAATGAACCCAAATGTCTCAATTTGACACGGGTCTGTCAGAAAGACGAAATTTGTTTTAAAAATCCAGTCTTTTGGCGAAGAAGAAATAGAGAAAGTTACTAACTCAAAACCCCCAAATGAAACAGAGCAAATCTCCACCTGATTTTAGCGGTTTTTGCTCCTTGAATCTAGGGCTATAAGAGAAACAAAACAGAGGAGAAAAAAACCACTCAGGAGATGAAGGAGAAATCGGAAGGAACCTTTTTCATTTTTAAATTCAAAAAACCACCAAAAGTTCTCTCTTTTCTTATCTAACAACATTCTTCTTTTTTTTGGAGCAAAATCTATCTAACAACATTCATATGCGTATAATTTAGTCAAAATCTGCCTAACAACATTCATATGCGTATAATTTAGTCAAAACTCTTAGTAAGAATAACGAATCAAGGGTTTTAAAACTTGAAACTTTAAAGTCGTTGATATCTCTGTAATTTATCTCCAAGTTTACATATTCTTATCTACTAAGATTTTACTATATCTTAACATTTATATTTTCTAATAGAAATAAAACAAAATTGAATTTTACTCGGTTTCATTTAGTTTTGGTATAATTGAATAATTACAACTTTAGATGTGTGGCTTAAGAAAAATAAAAAATAATAACTTGTAAACGTACATATGTTTGGTTGACAAAAAAAAAACATACATATATTTGTTTTGTGAAAATGTGCAAAACATTCCATTTTTACTATTTCGAATGTTGTATTTCTCGGCCGGAAACTTCATACCTGATAATAGTCGTAGATCATAATCTAGATACTTAAACAATACATGATACCTAGTGTTTTGGAACTGCATATAACTAACTAAAGCTTGACACTTGCTACTATTGATCAAATCTCGGTGTATAACGTATATCTACAAAAAAAAAAAAAAAAAAAAAAAAAAAAAAAAAAACGTATATCTACAAAACTACATCCTTATATTAAAATGGGGTTTCGAAAATTTTATTAAATTACAAACGATAATCAAGAGCCAAGAGGTGTATAACACGTATAATGAATCGGACCTTTTAAATAATAATAAAAAGGTCTGAATCGATCTTAAGCAA